GGCTGTGGAAGGTCGGTAGTTCAGCAGTTCGAGACCCGGGTGCCGCATGACGGAGTGAGCTCCCGTCTCTAGTTCCAGCTCCTGCCAACCTAGCAGTTCGAAAGCAAGAAATTGCAAGTAGAGAAATAGGTACCACTTCAGTGGGAAGGTAACAGCGTTCCGTGCGCCTCGGTGTCTAGTCATGCCGGCCACATGACCACAGAAATGTCTTCGGACAGCGCTGGCTCTTCGGCTTGGAAACGGATATGAGCACTGCAACCCTAGAGTCGGATTCGACTGGCTGTCAAGCAAGGGAACCTTTACCTTTTACAAATGAATTAAGTGAATAGATAAGTAAATTTGCCTCGCATAAAGACAGAATCCCTTTCCTCTGTGTGTGTCTGTTGTGTGAGGGCAGGGCAGTGTGAACGTAGATGCTGCCCCCACCAATGCTTCCTCTAAGCTGTGGAGTCCTGTGAGCAAAAATTCTACTTTGTGAGCTACTGGCTTTGAAGTTGTGAGTGAGTGATTTGGCTGCTGCATTAAATTAGTTTGCTCTGGAGCCCTCCTTCCTGAGTGAAGACAAAAATGTGTGAGCCGGAGGCCAAAAAACTGTGAACTAGCTCACACTAACTCAGCTTAGAGGGAACACTGGTCCCCACTCCCAACATCTGTAAGTTAAATCAAAGGTCAAAACAGTCTGTAGATCAAGATGGGTCGCCACATTGGTCTGTCTGTAGCAGCAGAAAAGAGCAAGAGTCCAGGAGCACCTTAAAGATTAACAAAATTTGCAGCAGAGCAGGGCAGCAGGAGGAGGAGGAGGAGGAGGAGATTGGGTTCATACCCCACCCTTCACTCGCTGTCCGAAGACGTTTCCGTGGTCATGTGGCCGGCATGACTAAACCCCAAGGCGCACGGAACGCTGTTTCCTTCCCACCAAAGTGGTACCTATTTATCTACTTGCAATTTCTTGCTTTCGAACTGCTAGGTTGGCAGGAGCTGGAACTAGAGACGGGAGCTCACTCCGTCATGCGGCACACTCGGGTCTCGAACTGCTGGACTCTACTGACCTTCCATAGCCTGCAGTTCAGCGTCTTAACCACTCGAGCACCTTAAAGGCTAACAAGATCTGTGGCAGGGTGTGAGCTCTCATGAGTCACGGCTCACTTCCTCAGATACAGCTAGAATGTGAGTCCGTCTGTCCCATATACTGGAAAGTGGAGTGATTTCAGATGCCAAATGACATCAGCAGGCAAATGACAACAGCAGGCGTGCTCCCTGCTCCCTGCTGAGTGCACGTGGAGGTGGCAAACCGAGGTTTTGCTGCTGTATCATGCGTGAAACGGCCCAATTCTGATTCTGAAAATTCCCAGGAAACCCTTTCCACTAACATTGGTGGTTTCCGCCGATGTAAGCGGTTCTTCCGCCAGGGCAAAACACTACCACTGGCGCAAATGTTCTGCTGAGAAAGCCAGGGCTGCTGGTAGGGGAGGCCGAGAGATGGAAGAATTTGGATGCCCGACCGCCTTAACTAAAAGCCCGGTGGAACAGCTCCGTCTTACAGTCCCTGTAGAACTGCAGTGGATCACACCGAGCCCTGATTGCAAATGGCAGCTTATTCCACCAGGGTGGGGCCAGGCCTGAAAAGGCCCCGGCCCTAGCTGAGGCTAGTCAGACGTCCTTCGGGACAGGGACAACCAGAAGGTGTTGTTCCAATGAGCGCAAGGCTCCGTGGGGCACATATGGGGGAGAGATTTTCCTTCATCATTTCCCAGTACAATTTCTATGGACTTTTATTTTTACTTGTTCTAAAGTTAGTTTCTAAGGAATGTAAAGGTACCTAAAACAATAAGAATGAAGAAACCCTAGAAGATGTGTCCCTATCAGTGTTCCCTCTAAGCTGAGTTAGTGTGAGCCAGTTCACAGTTTTTTAGCCTCCGGCATGATGGAGGAGGATGGTTCCAGGGCAAACTCATTTATGCAGAAGCCAAATCGCTCACTCATCACTTTAATACCAGTAGCTCACAAGACCCCACAGCTTCGAGGGAGCATTGACTCCCTACATCATCTGTAAAACCAGTGGTTACAGCCTGGGTTCGAATCCCCACTCAGTCACTGATTGGCCTTGAGCCAATCAAGAGCCAGTGTGGTGTATGAGTCAGAAATACCAGGTTAGAATCTGAGAACCGAATTCGAGTTCCTGCTCTGACCTAAAAGCTGCTGAGTGACCCTGGGCCAGTAACTCTTGTCTGATTCAAGCCTCCCTCGTGAGATTGTTGTGGGGATAAAATCAGCAAGAGAGAACCATGCACGTTGTGCCGAAGGTCCCTGGAGGAAGGATGGGTTAAAAGGTACCAGACAGATCATCTTCCAGCCTTGCCTACCTTGCAGGGTTGTTATGAGGATAAAAGAAGGGAGGGAAGAACCACACTTCTTAGAGAAGGAGTGTCACATAAATACAATAGATGCTGTATCCTATAGCAGGTCAGACCAGAACCAGCAGGTTGAAATTTAATCAGAAGAGTTTTCGGCTAAACATTAGGAAGACATTCCTGACCGTTAGAGCGGCTCCTCAGTGGAAGAGGCTCCCTCGGGAGGTGGTGGGCTCTCCTCCTTTGGAGGTTTTTTAAAACAGAGGCTACATGGCCATCTGACAGCAATGCTGATTCCGTGAACTGAGGCAGATCATGAGAGGGAGGGCAGGAAGGGTTGCCTCAGTGCTTAGTTCTCGTGGCCCTTTCTTACATGCCCAGGGAAATGCTGATCCACACTTTGGAGTAAGGAAGCCATTTTTCTCCGGCCAGTTTGGCTGGAGACCCTGGAGGTTTTTTAACCATCTCCTGGGTGTGGAACAGGGGTCACTGGCAGTGTGAAGGGAGAGGTGTTTGTGAATTTCCTGCCTTGTGCAGTGGACTCGAGGGTGTAGACTTTCCAATTTCCCAGGGGGGGGGGGCTGGGGCTGGGCCAGAGGCATTGCTTTGCTAGGAGCAAGGGTGGCTCCCGGGGGAGGCTGAGCACCTTCCTGAAAATTTCGGCAGGGGCTGAAGCCCCGCCGCCCCCACGAAGATTACGCCTATGAATGAGATGTAATGCAATTTTGTTTCTAACCAAGATTCCCCCACCCTCCTTCTTGCCTTTCGTGATGTTTACCAACATATCCTTACAACTACAGACTGCATGCTTAATTTTTAAAAATAGCCCCTCATGCTGTGATTGTCCTACGGAGGTAAACAGATACTGAGGACTGATCCCATCTCTGTTCATTCCAATTTAAATGCGGGCTATGACATTTCGATCCGTTTTAAGCGATATTTGCTATTGATTACCAAGACGGTAACAGTGGAGCAAACCCACGGGGACAAACAACACCATATTTTTCTTTCCTTGCCAAACACAGAGCACAGAGCTTGAGGAGAACATCCGTTTTTTAAAATTAAAAAAAAAAAGCCGGGCTAATTCAGTGGCTTGATTTAGCAAATCTTTTCCCTCCCCTCTTGCTACCAACAGAAGCAATATTTTAAGGCACGGTGTGATTTAAAGAACCCCTCGTACAGCAGGCGCAATCCTGTATCTCGCAAATTTGACATCACTATGCACGTAAACATAGACCTTTTTGAGATCTTCTCCTCCAAATACGGCCAAAAAACCCAACGAGGTTATTGACCAGCTCACAAATACCAGGTTGCTTCTGGTTTCCCACTGTGCAGAGAAACAACCTCCGTGCAATAAAAAAACGATAGCTTTAGAATCTCAAGGTGTTTGCAAACATGCCCGAGTCTCCACCCCATCCCAGCCAAAGTGACAATTGTTTGTCTCTTCTTTCTAAAAAATAATACCTGATTTAATAAAGGACTGGAAGGTCACGTTGGTTGTTAAAACAGCGATGCATCCTGCTTTGGGATTATTACGAAATTACATCTGAACAGATGCACAAACACATGCGCGCACACCACCAAGGCCCTTTCTGTCAGCGCCGATATAGCCCCAACGCCTGGCGGACCCCACAAAGAGCGTTCACAATACTGGTTCGAGGCTCACAGCAAAGAGAAGCAATTTTGCCCAAATCAAAAGGAGCAGTCTGGAAACAAAACAGGGCATCGGAACAGAAAACGTCGCAAAATGTACACGGGGCGTGGTGTCAGGTTGTGCCCCCTCTCTGGACCCAAACAAAGGAGGGCTGCTACTAGCTCTTCCTTAAGTCTGCATAAAATGGCTGAATAGGAGCTCCAAGGCAGAAGGTAACCGGCCACACCCAACCAGACGAGGTTCAAAATAAACGCCAAGGACTGCCTCTATTGTTTTGCCATCTGTTTGTTCAACAGATGATCAAAAACCACAGATTTCTTTTTCTGTTTGGGAGGGGGCGGCTATTTGTTTATAGGGGAACGGCTTCGACAAACGTGCTCGGAAGGCGGAAAGCCTCAAACGCTGGCAACTGGCAAAGTGAATGGGGGGGACGGGGACGGATAATGTGCCAGGGACAAAATACCACCAACGCCAAGGGAGCCCCTGCCCGGCTGCAACAGGGCTTTGTGTTCACAACAGACGGACGGTGCACAATGGGTGTGTCGCCTGCCAAAAAGGGATGCTCCAAAGCTCCCTCCGAGACCACAAGCCCCAAACAGAGGGAGGACGCCCGTGCTGCAGGCTGCGTCCTGAGCCCTGGGACGGGCGATTGCGCTCATCATTTCGTGGTTGTTAAAGATCAGCAAGGGGCTGGCGAGCGGACGGTTGCCAGACTGTCCCCGGGAGAGGAATGCGACGTTACATTTCCCCCCCAGAACGGCACGCTTGGGAGTGAGGAAGGCACACCTCGGCTTCGAAAAGGACCCATTCGGGTGAATAATGTGTTTTTTTTTTTAAAAAACCCAAAGCTGCCAGAGGTGGTTGAAAACAAAACACAGAGATGGAAAACAGACCCGTGCTCTCTCCAATGCCTTCTCCCCCATACACACACATGCAATCTCTTTTTTTCCCCCTTTCCCCCCTAGGCATGCCAAACCAGACAGGAGATCAAATACCCTGGCCTTTCCAATTGCTCCAGAGGCACTCCATCTTCGTGGAATCGGCACTGGCTTGCATCTTGCTTAGGGGGGGAGAGAGAGAGAGAGAGAGAGAGGAAGGGAACAGGCTGGCTCCTCTTCTTTGGTCTGTTGCTATCACTGGAGCATTCCAAAGCACCGAGTAGGTGAGCGGAGGGGGGGGGGTACCACGCTGGCTGCCGCCTTCTCTCCCCCCCTCCC